CAGTGCAGCTAATATATCTTAGTATGGAATGAAAATCCACAGATGGGAGTTTTGCCCATCAGGCTGGAAATGGTCAGTGGATCTGAGACACAAGAAGAAATCCAAAGAAATGAGGCTGCATACACCCAAAGAAACCAAGATCAGTCATTTAAGCTAATAAAATAACGTGCTTAGATTATAAATTGCTTCTTTCTCCCCCAACTCTTGTAACAGTGAGTGCATTTTTTTTCTAGCTACCCTTCCCAGACCTAGGATAAGCCCCTTAGGCTTCTAGTTTCTCTGACTATAGGAAGTTAAAACACTAATTGCTGTATATCCTAGAACACTTCACATTTAATAAAGAAAATCACCAAGAGTGGCTAAATTGCCTATGTTGCAATATGCATATGTGCATGCATATTTATGCATATGCATAAACACTGCATATGTTTATTAGTACTTTTTGGTCGATAAAGCATTTTGGCCTCATTTTGATCTTTAAGGATGTAAGGCCACAGCTAAAGCCATTCATCTGAACAGATAAGGAAAAAAAACTAAATATATCACATTGTTAAACAGACTACCATTAGCCATGGTTTATTTCAGGTTAGTTTTTTTTTTTTTTTTTTTGTTATGCTTTATAACCTTTAAGCTTCATTTTCAGGATTTCACCCTACCTGCTACCTCTCAGGTTAAAACACAAACAAAACCAAAAAGTTTCATATCCACTCTACTTTCATCATTACAAGTCTTGGTCTTTCTCTACTTCCCTCCTGCTTTTCTCATGCAATAAATACACATGATGGTACTTTGACTCCAACATCCTTAAGTTGTTGGCTTCACTCATATTCATTCAAATACAGAGCGTCTTCAGGGTAAAAGGCACTTAGGTTACAACAGCAAACAAAAATGTTTTATTGAAATTTACACAGTAGTAGATAAAAATAGTTATTATATACGTATATACTTACAATGTATATTACAGATGATTTCTAAGAAAGAAACAGTACTTCAGAGAATGTATACTAGAACTGCTGATGAGGTAATAGGAGAGATGTTAAAGGAGGTGGTGAGGAAGGCCTCACTGAAAAAAAGGAGGCATGAACCAAGACTATAGGCAGTCAAGAGACTTAGCCAAGAGGAAACAAAGAAAAATATTCCCGGCAAAGGGACAGAACAAAGTCCTTGGGGTGAAAGCATGTCAGGTGCATTCAAGGAACAGCACTGAAGGATGGATGCCAGTGTACCTAGAGTGAGGTAACGAGTTGAGTGAAGAAAGCAGGCAGCTCACACAGAGCTCTGAAGTCCATTGTAATGACTCCATCCATGGTAACAGTCCATTGTAAAGCTTTTACTTGGTATGAAATAAGGAGTCACTGCAGTTTTACAGCAGAGGAGTCACATGTTAAAAGTTTTTAAAAGGATCTCTCCATGGCTGCTATGCTGAGAACAGACTGTAGTGGGCAAAGGTAGAAGCAGGGAGATCAGTTAGGTGGCTTAGCTCAGATGAGCAGCAGGAGAGGTTTAAGAAGTGGTTAGATTCTGGATGTATTTTGAAGGTTGAGAGCCATTCTTTCCTAGCAGATTGGATACAGGATGATGGAGAAACTGGGTTGTCAGAGAGAACAGCTGATCTACACAGGATGAAATTGCCGGCAATTATTTTGAGGCAAACTAGATGTTACAGGCATTCTCTCCTGATTCACTTAGTCTCAATTAATCTTAAATTCTCTTTAAGTCCACCCCTTTTTCTCTCCTCCTACAGAAATAATCTAATCGGGGAAGACCAGTCTATTGAAGATAGATGTTTCTTTTCAGAGAAACCGTGGCTAAGACTGCAAAGACACACACTTTACCCTAGAAAGCAACCCCAGGACTAATTAATGTTTGATAGCTAATCAAGCAACAATGGGAAGTTTCTGTATGTCAATTACTGACCGTATGACTTTGGGCAAGTCATTTCTCCTCTCTCTGCCTCACTTTTTGTCTTAAAGAAAGGACAGTATTATCCATAGGGTTATTGTGAATACTAACAAGCAGAGCAGCATCTGGCACAGAGTAAACAATATCTAAGGGCTGCAAGCATTACTACCACTGTCGTTAAGTCTTTTTGTTATTTCTCAATCCCAGAATAATCTTATAAGAAATACCTAGGGAGTTAGTTGGTGAGTCTCATATACATTTCCAAAAACATGAATTACCTGACACCACAAAGTACTTTGTACTTTGAGTACAAAGACAGGACAAGTTGCTGGTAGGTGTCACAGAAACCTAACTGCCCTGACTCAGTCACTGAAACACTATAGGACAAATATTACCCATTGTGTTTTGAGCAGGGAAAACATAAATTCATACCTTATGCCTCTGTGATTTTAAGAAACTGACCTATCACAGAAGCCCCATGAACTCCTCTGAATCTTCAATTCTATCTGTCTGAGACGTCTTTAGGAATAAAGATGGTACTTGAGCACTTCAGTTGTTATATACTAGAATAAAGAATGCTTCAGTAGTAGTTTTTAAATGTTTACTAATCATCTATCAATATAATTCAGAAGTTAAAATCTATACCTATATGCTATTTCTATATGCTATTTAACTTAAATCTGTTCTCTTCTCCCAGCTTGATACTGAATGAATTTCTATGGAAAATGTCCCTGAACAACAGACTTATCCAGCCAGGGATTCTCAATCCTACCTGTATCTTCGAATTACCTGGAGAGCTTTAAACATACTAACACCAAGGCCCAGTCCTAGATTTCTGGTGTAACTGAAACCAATGTTGAGAAACATATTACAGGTAAATCCTAGAAGTATTATGTATTGAATTTGGCAGAGAAAATATCGTTTAAATAGTAGATTAGGGGATGCCTGTGTGGCTCAGTGGTTGAGCATCTGCCTTTGGCTTGGGCATGATGGCAGGGTCCTTGGATGGAGTCCCACATTGGGTTCCATGCAGGGAGCCTGCTTCTCCCTCTGCCTATGTCTCTGCCTCTCTCTGTCTCCCATGAATGAATGAGTAGATAAATAAATAAATGTGAATTAGTATTTCGGTTTAAACTAACATCATCAGGGCAGCCCGGGTGGCTCAGCAGTTTAGCGGCGCCTTCAGCCCAGGGCGTGATCCTGGAGACCCGGGATCGAGTCCCGCGTCGGGCTCCCTGCATGGAGCTTGCTTCTCTGCCTCTCTCTCTCTCTCTCTCTCCTCTCTGTGTATTCTCATGAATAAATAAATAAAATCTTTTAAAAAAAATAAATAAATAAACTAACATCATCATGTGAACTAAGTTCTGGAGCAAGAAGACAGTACAAGCCTAGATTAGAAATCTTTTTAACATGCCCGAGAGTGTCTTAAACTATCCTGAAATTCCAAAACCAGATTTGGTGGTCTTCCGAAGTTTTCTCAAAACTACTTGAGATGAAATCTTAGATTTCTTTCAAATGAAAGAACACACAATACTATTCTCTTTTTGTCTAGCAAAATCCTTCTAAGACGTAGTGCCAAATACCTGGTTATAATTACTTCTTTTCCTCTCATTTCCTTACTATAGTCAGTATTGCATGCAGCTTGGCTCTAAGAAATGTAAATCTTCCTTTTGTCTGTATTTTTTAAATTTGTATTTAAAATATAAAGCTTCCTCCCAATATTAGCGCACAGCACGGAGAAATTATTTCCAAATGTTTTTGCCTGTCAGCGCTGTATAAGACTCGGTAATGGCTTTCTATAATAAACTCCTGTATTCATTCATTCCTTTAAAATATAATACTTATTAAAATCTTTACTATATACTACACATTTCTTTCAACTGCTTGGACCATACCAATAATCAAGACAGTCCAGACTTTAACACCCTTCTAGATGACTTTAAATGCATTAATTTAAAGTATAACTGTAGTTCAAAGACATCTAAAGAGTAGGTTAAGATAATGGAAATCTATTATAACTACACCAGAAACATCACACGGAACCCTAATTTACTAAGTGCCTACTATAAACCAGATGTTACATCAGTGCCTTTAAGATACAGTACTCCTTTAATAAAGTCGCTGTCCTGCAGAGATGACATAACTATTCAGAAAAAATTAAAAGAGGCCAAACAATGAGAAAATTCTTTCCTTTAGCAGAGTTTAAATTTGGCTTTCCATACCAGAGGGAATTCTCCATCCTAAAGCTGACTTGTAATAGAGTTGTGTCAATTCATTCACACAAGGAATTCTTCATCTCAGTTGAACTACACCAACTGTATGAAGATTTGGGGGTCAAAAAAAGGAAATCACGTTGCATAAGAATGTATTTCCAAGTTCACATTTTAAGTCGAAAATTATGTAAATTCAAGCATGATGCATAAACTACCTATCCATGATAATAAGCCAGGTAGCTTAAGGATAAGTCAGCACGAAGGAATATGCTGTGGAACCAATAATGTAAGTGCACATCACCAGGTGCAGCGATCGGTCCTTTATCTTCCCTTACAAACACTAGTCCAAACATCACTCAGCTCAATCAGAAATCCATGGGACAGTAATTCTGCGCCAAGCAAAAACCGGGTGACAACGCAAAGCCGTCTCCAAACCATTTTGATAATAATCGAGTTTGTTGTGTGTGTGTTTCAAGTATTCGGGTGAATCTATTTCACTCCAATCCAATCCTGCACAATCCTCCCCGCCACAAAAAAAAAAAAAAAAAAAAAAAAAAAAAAAGTTTCTAACGGAAATAAGGAACTGCCCAACGGGGTCAATCTCTAAGTTTCCGGGGGAAGCCGATACACGCCGACCCTGTTCCCCCAACTCTAGGTAGAGACCGATTCCGAAAAGGGATTCGCTCATTTCCGCCAAATACCATCCAGTCCTTCCGCCTCCTAAAGGACAAGCGGGAAGACCCCGGCGTGCGGGGCCCGCGGGCCCTCGGCCGCCCGCGGCGCCTCCCCGCCTGCGCCCCGCCGCCCCGCGCTACTACCGAGCCGCGCGCTCGGGGCCGCGGGGACGAAGACCCGGGCCGGAGGGCGGAGGCTGGCGAGCCTCACCGTCGATGTTCTCCCGGTCGCTGATGTGCTGCAGGTTGCAGCCCGTGTCCTCGCGGCTCAGGTCCGTGTCGGGCCGGTAGGACTCCAGCCGGGAGTGGGCATTCCTGCGGAGCTTGGGGCTGGACGACACGCAGCACGAGGTAGTGTTCCCCATCTTCGGCGGCCCCGGCTCCCGGGCTCTCGCCTTCCTCCCGGTCCCCCGGCGCCGGGCGCGGGGCGCGGGGCGCGGGGCGCGGGCGGCGGGGCGCGGGCGGCGGGGGCGTGGAGGGGAGGCCCGCCCGCCCGCCGCCGCGGGAGGGGCGGAAGCGCCGGCCGGCCCCGGGTCAGCAGCGGCGGCGGCGGCGGCGGGTCCTCGCCATGGGCGGCGGCGGCGGCGGCGGCGGCGGCGGCGGCGACGAGCGGGCGGCTCCCGGCTCCCCCGTGCCTCGCTGCGCGCCCGCCCAAGTCCGGCGGGCCTGTCCGCGGCGGAGGAGCGCTCGGGTCCGCGCGACTGCGGCCGCCGAGCCCAGCTCACCCCGCCGCGGCCATGGCGGGCGGCGCCGCGCAGGCCGCCTCACCCCCCGCGCTTCCCGGTCGGCGCCCGGGTCTCCGGCGGCGGCGGCGGCGGCGGCGGCGGCGGCCTACGAACAGCTTCCGGTTCAAGCGAGGGAGACGCGAGTTCGAGAGGGCGGCAGGGCCGGCGGGCGGGCGGGCGTCGGTACGGCCCTCGGGCCGGGCGCGGGGAGCCGGGGAGCCGGGGAGCCGGGGAGCCCCGCGCGGCCAGCGAGGATGCTCGCCCCCGCCCCCGCCCCCGCCCCCTACGGCGGCGCCCGCCCCGCCCCGCCCCGCCCCGCCGCGCCGCGCCCCGCCCCGCCCCTTCCCTCTGCCCTGGAAGCAGATGCGCGGCCGACGGAGGCGGCCGGCGCGCCGAGAGTGGAGCTGGGGTCGGGGGCCGCCGTCAGGCAGGCGGGCGCGGGCGCGGGCGCGGGCGCCGCAGACCCAGCCGGTGGGAGCTCCGCGTCTCGGCGGCCTCCACCTCGCCCGAGCCCTCCACTGGGACCAGAGGTGCGCGGCGGGCCTGCACCGCCCTGGGCCGGGCCGGGTCCCCGGGGGCCGCGGACGGGCGGGGCGGGGCGGGGGATGGGGGGGACGGGGCCGCAGTGGGGGGAGGGGGAGGGGGGAGGGTGCGACGGGGGGCCGCGGAGGGGCGGGGCGGGGGATGGGGGGACGGGGCCGCAGTGGGGGGAGGGGGAGGGGGGAGGGTGCGACGGGGGGCCGCGGAGGGGCGGGGCGGACGACGGAGCCGGACCGCGGGCTGCGGGCTGCGGGCCGCGGGCCGCGGGCCTCGGGCCTCGGGCCTCGGGCCTCGGGAGGGAGAGGCTGGGGCCCGAACGCCGTCTGTCTCGCACACCGGCGCGAAAGGGATTGTCTCGTTTTGTCCTGTTTTGTTTTAAGCCCTTAAAAGGAAACGGGACCCTGATTTGGGGTTTCTCGCTTCTATTTTGAGTTTTGCCAGGACCTGATGCTGACCTTGTTTCAGAGGGTGAGGTCAACCTTGGGGGTCCCGGGCGACACTACTGTCGAAGTAGCCGCAGTGGTGTTGAGTTTGTGGAAGCGAATGTGGAGACCGCTGACGCCCGCCGTCCTTTACTTTCCAGGGCTGCTGAGTGTGCCCTGCGGAGGCCGGCGTGACCCGAGCGCGCGAGCTGAGATCAAGGGACGCGGTGGGGCGTGCCTGGCCCGGTTGGCGGGCTCCATGCCCTCCCAGCACCCCACAAAGACCTCCTTAAGGTGCAGAGATAATCTTCCCATTCTTTCCAGATAGTGAGCAAGTCAGGAGAGACTCAGGGGAAAAAAATGGCTGTGAACACAAAAAATACGGTGCAACCCTCTTCATTTATATCTGGGGATACTTGAAGCCCAAAAAGATGAAGTGCCTCGATTTGCCCAGGGTCCCAGGGTACAAGTTAGTGATAGATGCAGGCACTGAAAGGGAAGAAAAGGATTGGGGAAACTAATACTTACATCATCAGCAACGTGTGGACTTCTTACCTGAGGCTTTATAAACACGTATTTCGTTTAATTCTTGATATCTAGCCCTTTTTACGACCTGTTCTCTCTCTGCCATGCAGTCATGTTTATACATGCATTAGCCAATAATCAAAAGAGCCTCATGCTCTCCAGTGGATTAATGCCATTTGTTGCAGTAAGTGGCGGATGTCCTTGGAAAATAAATGGCAGCAAAGTACTGATGTTGACAAGATGAGAAAGGGAGTTCCAAAGAATTGCAGCCCTGAAAAGGTGGGTAAATATCAACAAGACAAAATAATGCTCCTTATTAAGGTGGTTCTGATCTTCTTGCTTCCCAGGAAAGTGATAGGGACATAACTGCAAGTCACTGAATGTGAATATTCACATTTCCAGGGCTACAGTGTGTGGATAAGATGGATGAAAATTGGGACAGGGGTTATCATATTGTCTGTTCTGATTGCTGGTTTGTAATTGGGGCACTATAAGCACCCAGATACTGAACCATAGGTGTATGGTACATCCACTCAGGCATATTAAATAATTTTCATTTAATTGTGGGATTTATAATGTTTTATTAATGATATGGTTTGAAAGGTTTCAGAGGAAAGGCAGAGTAGCTGTCTGCAAGCTTCCTGTGCTGGCGGGTCACCGGGCAGTGTTAACAAAAAAAGAGCATCTCGAGGTGAAGGGAGACAGGACCGGGGGTCAGGGTAGCCACAGACTTGCCAAGGTGTGGATGGCCATTGGTCTACAAGGGCTTTTCCATCCCCCACCGTCCTCATCCCCTCTTCCACATTCCTACTGTGTTCCCTGTTGGACTTACTCAGAAGTCTTGACTTTTAGTGTATAGGCCCAGGACTACTATTAAAGCCTTATCAGTGACTCACCTGAGTGCTACCCCCTTTTGCCCTTCCCCTTGGCCCACACACATGCGCACTTCAGACTGCTCCAGGCAAAGACACCTCCCCTTTGAAACACAGTGACGCTTTGGAGAGGTTGCAGAAGCAAAGCAATTCCAAGACACTAATGAAATATATCATTTATTGAACACCTGCTGAGAGTCATGCTCCGTAATAAGTATTTTTTACATCTAAGCCTATGCTGTTTCCCACATTTTACAAATAAAGACACTTTAATTCTGATAATTAAACCTAAGATCAGAGTACTGAGAAAAGGCCTAAGTGGGTATATGAACCTTGGTTCTAACTGCAAAGTCCATAAGTTCCCCTCTCAGCTATATCTACCCCAATACCTCCTGCCCCCATGTCCCAAGTATCACTGAGCAAGAAGCGAGCAAAGAAACGGGTTAGAATAATGAGAGAAGAAATCTGCAAAAGTTATGAGTGGAAGAGATTCTGGAAAAGAGACTCTAGTTTTACTTCTCCTTTTTTATTTTCTCTGAAGGAAGCTAGCAGTGACTGCTTAGGACTAGTTCTAGACTTGAAGAAGGGATCATTATTTCTGTGGGCCTCCCTCTTAACCAGAGTAAATAGACTAGACGGGCAAGAAGGTTGAAGAGAAGCATATGCAGAAATAACATGTGCATTTAGCCACAGTATCTTTAACATTGCATCACTTAGGAATCTAAATGCAAGAACACTTCCTCAGTAAAGTAAATCTAGCCCAGGATTGAAGCCAGAGGAGGAGAGGGAGGGTGAGCACTACAACCCAGGAACCCATCCTCAAATCATTCAACCTTTTGAGAAAACATCAACCTGTATATACTTGTAACCCACTCTGCTCTTTTAGCAGAAAGAATAATTTGTATATGTTTTTCCTTCATCTTTCTCTGTAATCACTATTTAAGATTTTGGTCATTATGAAGAGGTCAGTATGGAACTTGGGTGAACTACCTAAGTCATTGCTCTCCAATTTTGTTTTTTTTTTGTTTTTTTTTTGTTTTTTTTTTTTTTAGCAGTGGTAGCTTTTTTCTTTTTTTAATTTCAGTGCAACCACAATATTTAAAACATGATCAATATTAGTATTAACCTATAAGATCTACTTATAAGAAATAAACTATTGAGAATAAGCTATCTTAATTGAATCGGATCATAATTATAGTCTTACTTCAGGTCCCACTTATATCCCTGAAATATGAATCAGTCATTTGCACAATGCCCTGAATCACCCCCTAGAATACAGAAAACACAGAGCCAAGTTAACCAGGGCCTGGACTTTTGGTCAAAAGAAGAAAAATAGTCTTGGGGGGGAAAAAAACCTTCTCAGAGTATATCTGCCCTTTCCTTATCACCTGGTAACCAGTTTCTTGTGTTACTTAACATTTGTAAGGCAGGTATGAAAAAACCAAGATTCTGTCTGTTGTACCACCAGCGCTCCCACGTCACCCTCACTCTCCAGTGACCTCCCCTCCAGATAAAGGCCTCCATCTAGTACTTGAAGGTGGGCAGTCCTCTGTGTGACCTGCTCTTGAGGAGGTATTTACTTTGATAGCCACTTGACCTTGACCAGTGTAAGTTATTCACTTATTGATAAAACATTTCTTGGGATGCCTGGGTGGCTCAGTGGATGAGCATCTGCCTTCGGCTGAGGGCGTGATCCCGGGGTCCAGGATTAAGTCCCACATTGGGGTCCTTGCAGGGAGCCTGCTTCTCCCTCTGCCTGTGTCTCTGCCTCTCTCTCTCTCTCTCTCTCTCTTTCTCTCTCTCTCTCTCTCTCTCTCTGTGTCTCATGAATAAATAAAATCTTTAAAAAAGAATTCTTCAAAGTGTACTGAGTCTGGCACCTTAGGGATACAAAAATGGATAAGATTTCATTCTCACCCCTCATTATCTGATATGGTAAACAGTCCAAAGATCAGGTGTAGAATATGATCATAGACACTTAGTGGTAAAATCAGAAGACCTCCAAAACTGCAACCTGTAACTAAAAACGATTCTTGCCTGTGGATGCATCTAACATTCCACTATGGAAGATTTTTTCTTATGAATAAAACCTGGAGATTGGCAGAATGAAAATTTCCACAGGCAATTAAAGATGGATAGGAATTTTTAAACAAGTCCCTTGGACTAGAGTAACTGCCAGGAACAATGTGTTAAGCAGGATTCTGAGGTCATTCCAGCCAACAGGGGAAAAGGCTGCCATAAGGAAAGGAGGAGGAGGAGGAGATAGTACTTGTGCCACATACATATTTCCTGTCCATGAGTAAAACCTTTGTTTATGGAACAAATAATAAAGCCAGGGACAGCCATAGTCTCTCGGTTTCTGGG